AGGTTTACATGGGAGAGTATCAGCTTTACACTCATCATATCGTATTTCGTTTCATTGCAATGATTGCAGTCCCCTCCATGCATCATCAAATAACCAAAGGGTACACCACACAGGCCCACCCCCCGGCCACCAACACACAGCCCTTCTCACTCCCTGAATCCAGTGTCCTTGCCACTCCATCTGTCTACATCATCGTCTCTGTCTCCATCCCTGGCATCACTGCCTCTTGGGGTAGGGTCCCGCTCTCCATTTGTCTCATCTGATGGTCCCAGTGATCTCCACTCCTGGGCTGCAAAATCAATCACTCTCCTCCTTTTGTTAAAAAAATCTACCTCTATATTTCCTACCTTCACACTCAGTCCTGATGCCAATTATTTACTATTGTACCACAAGAGTTGTATCCCCATTTCCTTTAGCCAGCCTGGTCCCAAAAGATTGGAAATCATTCAGTAGAGATTCTACCTTCTCCTTCCCCATCTGGAACTAGGCTCCCTCTTGAAAGCTTGTAAGCCAGTCACTTCTTGCCTTTATAGACCCCCCATTTTGGGTAGCCAATGTCTAAGTTGTCCATCCATGTCAATGCTGTGTATTGAGGGGGTGGGAGTGATCCTTTCTGTAAAGATTTGTTCCCTTTTTTTAGCTACTATATCCACAAGGTTAGGTAAAGTTCATCAAATTGTAGCAGGTTACTCTTTTTTTTCTTTTCCCCCTCTTATTTCTTCTTCTAGTTGAGTTCTGATCATCTGGTCATTGAAGCTAGGTCAAGTGGATACTATTTGCAAGTAAGGGTGTTCTTGTGCATCTCCCCTCACTTCATATCATATGGATGCTTCACTCTCAGCTCTAGTCCTCTGTGGCTATGTCACTGTCTCTGGGCCCAGGAGTCCCCGGGTCTTGCCAAACTGCTGGCCATCCAGGTCTCCACCTGAGTTCACAGGGGTCTATTGAATGTGGTCAGGCTTAGCTCACAACTTCATTGCTCTTTTTTCCCCTCTTCCCCTTATCAGTGACCAACATGGTCACCAGCCAGACCACATGCCTGCTCATGTATTCCCCTTGAGTCTTAGTCTTGGAAGGGGGTTTGTTTGCTCTGAGGGGTCCCCACCACTTGCCTTGGTGGCTCCCGGGCAAACAGCTTACTTGTTCTTGTAGTAATCAGTCAGACTGCTGTTATTGTTTCAGATTTTTCTTGCCGGTGTTTCTTTAACAGAGTATCTTTTGTTCTTCTAGTCACTCCAGGCTGGTCTACTTGTCCTTTCCAGTGGAAATTTGCTACCTCAGTCAGTTCTGGATGGGGTTCTGGATTCCATCTATGGTCTTGTGCACAGGAAGTCTTTCACTGAACTACTTCTAGCCCTCTTTAAGGTATTCCAGTCAGTTATAGGCTGAAGATGGACTTACAAGCTTTCTGTAGTGAT